ATACAATGTTATTAATACTTCGTTTCATTAAATTCTCTAACACCTTTTGTAAATACCATTCCAAATATAAATTTTTGTAGCAACTGTTCATACATTGTATTTGATAAAAGAAATATATTGTACTAATATTTATATGTACGAATGTATGAACGAATGTATACAATACGGAAGAAATGAATACTGTAAAACTAGAATCTCAATTTCTTATTACCGAAAATGCGATAAAATTGCGAAATTTATAGGTATGTATAGTTTAACAATTACGAGTTTAGTTTGATATAACATTTTCAACTGAGAAATAACATTAATAATCAACATATTCTACAAATTTCAAGTTACATGATAGTAACTAGGATGCCTTATTGACGATAATAATTTGTAGATATAACTGGTATCAAAATGCGAGACAACTAATAAAATTGTGAAAATAATTTTAATAGATTACTACTACTAATTAAGAAACCTTCGTAGAATCAATCCAATTAATGACCTAATCGAAATATATTTTATATGTTCTTACACTACATACTGATAGAAATGTTCTATTCTTAAAAATAGAAATATGAAAAAAAGAGAAAGATAAAGATATATTTCAAGGTCATCGATTACGCTCTAAAAGATTAGTAATAATCACCAGTTTACCGTGGTTGTCGTTATGTGTAGTAATTGTAAAAAGTAAATATTCAACATAGATTCTATCGTGAATTATCTATCGATTCTATAATAAGGCAAAAACCAACAAGTATTAAAAAAAAAAACACTATTAACATGTTTTAAAACAAAAATACTGTTGTTATGTATCATTTCTTGTAGTTATAACTAAAATTACGTTATCCTAACACAGAATTATGTTGTCACCTTCTTCGAGTGCTGGCGATAATAAGGATGTGCTTGCCAATGAAATCGAAGTATTATTTCCAAATATCATAGAAGACAAAATAGGAACTGTAGAATTTTTGAACGCAGCACGAGGCATTGTAAGAATTATTGGTATGTACCTTACATACCTTTCAATGGTACATAACCTACACAAAAATTAAAGATCTAAAGAAATATACGATAAATTTCAGAAAAGCTTGGCAAAGTGTTTGCTCCAGTTAAATATGATATTCAAGGCAACATTAATGTAAGTACACATTTTTTAAAACATAATCATTCGTAAAGATAATCATATGTACATACGTACCTAAACATTATTCTAGAAACTCACAACCCGATATGTAAAGGACGAAGAAAAAAATGCGACTCTACAAGACATGATTTTAATTGAAAAAAATACTGAAACCAATTTAATCGCTACGGATGCTTTAATGTGGTTAACAAGGTGCGTGCAACTATCCATTTTTATTCTCTCCATTTTTTCGCTTCGATTCCATTCAATTCTCGTATATTAATGCGTTTTTATCGCTTATTGTGTACATTACTTAAACCGCAACTTCAATGTATAAATTACAGAGGTTTACATATGATTTTGCTATTTTTTGAGCAAATTATCGAAGATGCTAAAACAACTACACCAACAGAGGATTTAGTAGCATTTTTAAAAAAAGCTTATAAAGAAGCTTTAGAACCGTATCACGGCTGGATGGCACAACAACTTTTTGACGTAAGTCAATATTTAAGGCGTACACACAACAGATTATTCTTTCTTCTCTTATTATGCAAAATGCAAGATATTACTTTTTCATTATGTAAATACGTTTTTCAACGTATGATCATGTTTCTAATTATTTTATCTCCAAGTTTAACATGCAACGCGCATGCGCGTATTGAATTTGACAATATATAAGTTTATAATTTTCAAAAAACTTATAAGTAACTTATAAGTAACTTTTATAATCTCTTCTTTATCTATGATTATTAACTATAATTCTGAACTTTTTGTTAACAGCTCCTTTCGCTCATGGTGCCTACACGTTCACAACTTTTACAAGCCCTTACTAATAAACAAACAACTGAGAATAGCACCGTTATACAGAACATGGAATTTTATTTACAGCGCTTACAAAAAAATGTGTCAGTAATACAGTTATTTTATAAAACTAATAATCTTGATCCTTCAAGATAAAATGTTTTGTTAGTCTCAAAATTGTATTCATTAGGTGTCATTAACTAAGAATATTAGCTAAAGGAAAAATTGGACAATAGTACTTTGATATGATACACTAGTATACTGTATAATAATACTTAACCTATAAACCTATTTGCTCAAAAATCTATATATAATTCCTAGTTATAAAGTTATTTTAGGATATTCACATTATGTATATGTATCATATAAATGCATTAAATAAAATACTTTAGCACGGTGATCTGCCAAATTCATTAAAGCAATCATTCCTGTAATAATTTCAATAAGAAGAAGACAAACCATAAAAAAATTGATTAATATTTCGCTAGAATGAGATAATATCCCACGATCAAAAAGAAGGAATGCCTCTAGGGGAAGCTGTATTAATATTGAGATTAACCAACAACTAGTTAATTCTGGAATCTAATAACAACTTTCTTATTATAAACGAACTATTATAAACGAGCTATAAAGAAAATTAACAAAGTCTATTGCAAATAAAGTAAGATTACCTTTCCAGTAAGATTTCCTAGGTATCCCAAATATAGTTTTAAACTTTCAAAAATTGAAAGTACCAGAAATGTTGCTACAGCTAACAATTTATAAACATTTGACAAATTATTGTACTGTAAAAATAATAAGTAAAATTAATATACTTAAGTTCAAGTTATATGATAATTTTGTAATTTCATCACACAAATAATAATTACTTTTGCATCCAAGTTAACAATAGAAATCAACAGCCAAACTGGGAAAAGCCACAGATTCACATATAGAGCTATTTGAAATGGTAAATTAGATCTTGTTTTATTACCTGTAAATAGATATATTTTATTTTAAATGAGATATTATTATCTTTTAATTAAATGAGTATATATTCCATATAAATTGTAACTTACGATCATGATACATAAATTTAGAAAATGTTTCATTAGTAATATTCGTTATAGGGAACTGTGACATATTTGAAACAAATTCTTCGACATGATAATAACGTTATTGAAACCAGTTTTTATTCAACAATTTCCACTAAACGTTTTAAGGAAATGTTTACATTTTTATATTATCTTAGGTTTGTATCCATTCACCATGTTAACTTAGGTTTGTACCCATTCATATATTTATATATTTGGTACATTGATCTTATTTTACATTTTGTTTAACACACATACATATGTGTACATATAGTTTTGATCTAGAATCTTCCGTGTAATACATTTTTTTTTTACTCTATCTCTTTTCTTCCCCTTTCTTTGTACTTTCCATCTCTCTTAATTGCTTACTCATGGTAAAATTATTCAACAAGAAAAAAGATATAAAAATATACAAGTTCTAAATATAACGAGAAAACATTGTAGGAATCACGTCAATTAAAAATTAACAACGGTGATGTATTCAGAAAAATCTGCTTTAATCTGAAAGTTTCCAAGCTTATTGCGACTGGTTTGACCCACGTAGTAGCGTGACATGTGTTTTGTGGTTTCGAGGCTGAAACGGATTGCGAGTGAAGTGACAAACAAAAGACGTTTATAAAATTTGTGTAGTTGTGCGTAGAAGCTCATGCGGCATTCGACCTGTTGAAACGAGTTAGCTTCAATTTCTCGTAAAACGTGAAAATTTTTTATCAAATTTGATTAGTTATTTGAAGAGTAACGTCAATCACTTCGGATAAAGGTTATCCGATCCCGTTTTCATCCTTATAAAGCGGTGACAATTTCTGAGATGGCCGGTGCAATGTTGTTCGAACGTGCACAAGCAGTTTCAATGACGAATCGTAGCGAAGGTATTTCACTTTTAAGTGAAATCGTCTCTGATCCGAGTATTGGTGTTACGGAGGATGATGAAGATAACATTCGGGTGAAAGAACAAGGTATTTTACATCTTGGCGAACTTTACAAGAAAGAAGGCAAGGCGAAAGAATTGGCGGAGTTGATCAAAGCTACGAGACCATTTCTCAGTTTGATCAGCAAAGCAAAGGCTGCTAAACTCGTACGATCTTTAGTAGACTTTTTCTTGGACCTAGAAGCTGGTATTGGCATTGAGGTATGTGTGCAAATAATTTTGATTGCATTTTCATGAATAGTTCAGTACAACTTCCCATTTGTCAACAGGTTCAACTGTGCAAAGAATGTATAGAATGGGCAAAAGAGGAACGTAGGACATTTTTAAGGCAGTCGTTAGAAGCGCGTTTAATAGCATTATATTTCGATACTGGCATGTACAGCGAAGCATTACAATTGGGATCGGCTTTACTTAAAGAGCTTAAAAAGTTGGATGACAAACAACTTTTGGTTGAGGTACAATTATTGGAAAGTAAAACCTATCATGCATTGAGCAATTTAGCAAAAGCAAGGGCGGCCCTTACCAGTGCTAGAACAACTGCTAATGCAATTTATTGTCCACCGAAAATGCAAGCTGCTTTAGATTTACAATCTGGGATTTTACATGCTGCGGATGAGCGAGATTTTAAAACTGCATATTCTTATTTTTATGAAGCATTTGAAGGGTAGGTTGTCTCTTTCAACATACTTTGTACTTGAGAATAATTGCAATGTTTATGTCTATGCATTCTAGATTAATCTACTATATTTCTTTCCAGATACGATAGCGTAGAAAGCCCGAAAGCCTTGACAGCTTTGAAATATATGCTGCTTTCAAAAATTATGTTACGTACACCTGAAGATGTTCAATCAATTATGTCGGGGAAATTGGCTGTTAAATACGCAGGAAAAGATTTAGACGCAATGCGGGCAGTTGCTGAAGCAAGCCACCGACGTTCATTAGCGGATTTTCAGACAGCTGTAAAAAAATATCGCCAGGAACTAGAAGATGATGTGATCGTGCGTGCTCATCTCGGCTCTCTCTACGATGCGATGCTCGAGCAAAACTTATGTCGTTTGGTTGAACCTTATTCTCGCGTACAGGTACACACATCGTTTACCTTAAATCAATTTAAGTTGATTTTATCACTTGTAATTTCATTCTTTTATTTAGGTCAGTCATATCGCGACCTGTATATCACTGCCACTTACTCAAGTGGAGAAAAAGCTTTCACAAATGATACTGGATAAAAAACTGAGGGGTGTTCTCGATCAGGGTGAAGGTGTTTTAATCGTTTTCGAATATACTCCGCGTGATAAAACTTATGAGATTGCACTGGACACTATACATAGCATGGGAAAGGTCGTCGATACACTTTACCAAAAAGCAAAGAAACTCACTTAGCCTTATTTATTATATATGTCTAAACAACAACGTTTATACAACGTGTTATACAATCATGTATAGCAGATTTCATTTGTTGATTTGAAAAGAAAATGATTTTTGATGTACAAAATATGAAATACAATGGTAATAGAATGAAACGATACATTTTATCAATTTATCTTATTCAAAACATTATAAAAAAAAAATATATACATATATATATATACACACACA